CCCTTTCCACTTCCGTGCCACCCAGCAGGTCATTCCCTAGGCTGTAGGTGTGCTGGACATTTTTTCTCCCTAGGTGCACCACTTTGCATTTCTCCTTGTTGAACTGCATTCTGTTGTTTTCTGCCCACTTGTCCAACCTGTCCAGGTCTGCTTGCAGCTGTTCCCTGCCCTCCGGCGTGTCCACTTCTCCCCATAGCTTTGTGTCATCTGCAAACTTGGACAGAGTACATTTCACTCCCTCGTCCAAGTCGCTGATGAAGACATTAAAGAGTATCGGTCCAAGGACCGAGCCCTGCGGGACCCCACTGCCCACACCCTTCCAGGTCGAAACCGACCCATCCACCACGACTCTCTGGGTGCGACCCTCTAGTCAATTCGCCACCCACCGGACTGTGTAGTCATCCAAGTCACAGCCTCTTAACTTGTTCACCAGTATGGGGTGGGATACTGTATTGAAGGCCTTCCTGAAGTCTAAGTATACGATATCCACCCCTCCTCCTGTGTCCAGGCATTTTGTAACCTGGTCATAAAAAGAGACTAGATTAGTCAGGCACGATCTGCCTGCTACGAACCCGTGCTGGTTTCTCCTCAGCATAATTTGTCCTGCCTGAGCCTTGATAATTTTTTCAAAGATTTTGCCAAGGATGGAGGTGAGACTGACTTTCATTAGGAATGATGGCAAGAAGCTACATATTCATGCAAGAAAGACTACTACAGTTGTATAGTTCCCCAGCTGTTAGTTAAGGTTCCCATCCGAAATGGAACAGCTGATGGACACTATTCCTACTTCTCAAACCTTTTTCTGTCCATCTTTTTTTCTGCCTCCTAACACTATCTTTTTCTCCCTGTGTATTTTTTTTAGTTCTCTAATTTTTTTATTATTTCTAATGCCTTCCTTTGGGATTTTCTCCTTTCCCGCTTTCCAAGATATGTGAGAAGGCATCCCCTGATGAATATGGAATCAAGCAGTCTGCTTTCAGTTACAAGGAGTATCATGAGAAAAAAAGTAACACCAGCTTTCTGCAGTCCCCCCTGCCTGCTTACAAACCGGACTGTATTAGAGGCTAATATAGGAGCAAAGATGGGAGGCCACCGAGCAAATCCACAGCAGTGAGGGAGCCGTGTAAGTGCTCAGCCAGATTTTCCTGACTTCCACGACTCTCCAGTGGCATATGCTCCAAATCCCCAAACAAATCTGGTGTCCCATTCCCATGCCTACCCTGAAAGCTTATAAAACACTGCTTCATTGCTTATGAAACACATACTTCATCTAGAGAGCCTACAGCAAGTACCATAAAGACTCGTAGAATTAATTCATTCTAGCAAATTTAGAAAACAGTCCTTTATCTAATCCAATTCTAAAAACAACTTAGAAAAAATGCAAGGCTCATACTTTACAAGACCCAGTACAGAATTACCAAAAACAATGATGTAAGGTGTTTTGTATTTTCCTTTCTTCATGACTAAGCAGGACTTCTACTGTACTTTTATTTAAACCTGTAAATCTAACCAGGTACCTGAAAATATTAGCCCCTTGTGGGGGGGAGGGGGAATCTAGCTACTAGAGACAAGAGAAAGATTATTTATTTACTATAGCAAACTGAACATGACAGAATGCATCCCTGGAAATGTCATATGTAGACTATTCTTGCAATGTCAAGCCCTAAAACACTTTTCTAATGGCTTTGCATGTCACTAAGACCTTTATGAAAGAACCTGTACCTAAAACAAAGAAATGCTCATTTCAATTAACCAAAACTTTGTTTGCAGACTGCTATGTTATGGAGCTTTATGACTGAGTATACCTTCCAACTGTCTCTCAATTCCAATAACATTATCACCTCTAGTAGTGTTGGGGTGATGTACTATGATGGACTAGGAAATATGCAAAAGGTAAGGAGTTTTTTGGGTGGTATTTTTTATTGGACCAATAGCATGGTTGGGATAGGCTTAGACAATATTTTGAATGCAATGCAGTCTTCCAGTTCTAGCCAGTTTTCAGGAGAACCACCAAAAGAATTTCTAATGTGGAGTCATAAATTCAGCAAAGTCATAAAAATATCTGAAAAAGCAGCCATTCATGCATTTAAGCATGCAAAACATTTAAGTTGAGCAAGAGCCTTGGACTTCTTTGTTTCCTAAATTCAAAGATTGAGTTTAGAATCACTGCCCTTCTTCAACCAAGTTATCTTGTTTAAAGGATAAAGCACAGAGACAGTTAATAAAATACAGAATCTGATTAAGTTAAGCCTCCTGCTTATGAAAGCATGCATCTCTGATTTAATTAGCTTGCAAAGTACAAATCTACCCTGTCTTCTAACTGACTTCAGACAAACATGGGTAACAACTACTATTTAACACACATCCATTTAATCTTCAACATAACTGAGACAGATATTACTTCAACTTCACAGACACCAAAGCTGAGACAGAGATGTTATGAGACTTAAACCTGAATAGCAGAATTAGAATTAAACAGCAGGGCTACAAACTCCTATTCCAGGTTTAGTTTATCAGACATACTGCCTCTTCATTTTTCATAATATTTCAGATATACCTATTAAATGTTCAGCTGATGTTCGGTGCTATCAAAGCAGTTTAAAATTCGGTGCTTTCCAAAGTTCCATTCAGTTAATGCAGCTGTTCCCTTTCAGCACATTCTGTAATCTTAAAAGTGCACAGCTTCTACAAGCTTGAGACGTGACACAGGTTTAGGTCTAAAGAGAAATTAATGAAAAAGACACACAACCTCAAATGACTTTAAATGTTTGGCTTTACACCTGGTTAAACTGTTACTTGAAGAGTTAGAATTTCTCCCTACCTTCTCTACATCCTACCCCAGCTTCTCCTGTGAAAAGCCCTGCATAGTTTCAACCCTGCTTTACCTTTCCTCCCTAATTTCTCATCTGGATACTTTAGACCAGTGATTCTCAACTAGGGTATAATGAGATCTTTTTAAGGGTGACAGGGGGTACTATGCAATATTAGCACTGTTACATGTGCAGATACTTCCACAATTCACAAGATAAACCCAGCAATTTCACACAGGATCCACAGTGACAAAAACATTCTGACCTGTTTTGGTCTCTGCAAGCTCTTTGCAACAGAAGAATCGGTCTATAGTTTTTCTACAATCAAAACATGAGTGAAAGATAAGAGCTGGCATTTTCTGAGGGGCGCCTGGAGTCTAAAAAGATCAAGAATGACTGCTTTAGGCAGTCACTGTTGCTGTGCCACTTCCTCCACCATGGCTTTGAAATTTCTTGTGGTACACTTTGGGTATCACACAACCTCAGCCTCACAAATGCTACTTAAAAATTCATTCTTCAGTGAGTTCCAGCACCAGCCACATGCTGGCCCTCACTGCAGAAAGTAACCTTGGATTATGTTAAATCTAGAAGTCCACAAAAGTCCTAAAAAGATGCCAGCTAAGATATAAGTAGTATATCTTATGATGCTTCGTATGATGCTTCGTATGAATCTTGTTCATATAAACTACTCTTTACCTATTCTTTATCATTTCCTTTGCAATGCTGTGTCTGATTTTAATAGCAAGTCCCACGAGATAGGGATATGTAATACTTGTTTTTCAGTGAAGAACCATGAGCCAATACCATATAAAAAAGCTAAATGTAAAGCACATAATATTTCACTTAACTCCCACATGTATTGTATGGGCACCACATCCAATCCTTTGCACTGGCATGTTGCGTGGATACATGCTATGAAGCCACATCTGCTTTACTGCACACACATCCAGTAGTTCCTGAATGGTGGTCTCTATTCTAACACCACTTCTTTTCCACATGCCATTTCAAATACAGGGTTTACTGCTTTGAACTCCTGAGTCTAGTATTAATGAGAATTCTCTAAGGAGAAGGATCAATCTAGCATGTACATAAAAAGGTACTACACATCATGCGCCCTCGTTTCTAAATATTTTAGGTTACGTGAAAAGAGAGTAAAACAGCTAAAAGAATCTGGAGCATGGGTAAATGGGTCATTGCTAGACCACTTCATTAATGAGCACTAGATTAATGGAAATATATAAAATATGGCCAGTTAACAAGTCTTAAGATTCATGTACAGTACTTAGTAAACACAATCAAGACATTCCAAAAATAAACTAGCACCCATTTAGTCCCAGACTTTTTTTGGCACAAAAGTCCTCTCTTCTCCCCCCTGGCCTCCTGACCACACACAAAATGTAATGGACTTTATAAATTGCAGTAACAGAACTGGTATTTTTGTGTCTTTACTTAAGGCAATTTAATTTTAAAATGAATGGCAATCTGAAATGTTACACATGTAAGCAGTCAACGCAGAAGTATAAAAGAAATAAAATTTGATGGGGCTGACTTTTCTACCCTCCCTTCACTTCTGTCTCATGCTATCCAGATTTTGCTACGTTTATTCCTTCAGTGGTTTCTATTCCACCCTTCCTCACAGGTATCGCTTGAAAGTTTGTTCTTAAATTCCTCCTCTTTTTCCTTTCTACACCTTAGCCCAGAATCACCCCATTGCTTTACAGAACTTCTGTGATTCAAAAATCTTGCTCTTCCCCAGACCCATTTTCTGCTGTTCTGTCTCTCACCTGCATCTTTCCAGCTCAAACCAAATCTGATAAAAAACACCATATTTACCTGAACCCAAGATGACTCTGAATGTCACGCACTCCCCACAATAATAAGACTCTATCCATGGAAAATTTATAAATGTGTTATAATTTTCAATGGATAGAATCCAGTTACTGGAGGGTCATCTTAAATTCATACCCCCTACCGCTGCATAGAAGAAGCAGTGGCATGGAGGCACGTACAAAGGTGCCTGACCCCTACCCCCCAAACACCTTGCCCCCTGCCACCTATCCACCCAACCTGCACCCCAACTACAACCTCAATCTCTCCCCCCAACCCCACTGTCACTTACCTTCTGGCTCTGACCCATGGCATGGAGCACATGGTTGTTTTGGCTCCAGCCCAGCCAGCCACACAGAAGTTGTTGCAGCAGCAGCAGCTCCAGCCAGGCCTTAGAGCCAAAGGCAGGGCCAGAGCAGCCACTGCCACCTTGTACTCAAGTCTTAAATGAGGCGCTCCCCATCCAATGATACATGGGGGTGGGGACTTTGTCTTGGATACAAGTAATTATGGTACTTGTCTTTCTTCCTACACCACCTTTCTCTATCTGTTAATATAAAATAAAGGAGAAACCTACACTAAATGAATGTAGAGATTGCAAAAGCAACAATTAAAAGTCAAGAAATACTAGTATTAGAATTACCCAAGAAGTAGCAGATAAGTGACAACTTATTTTCTTAAATGGGAAAGATCCTCAGGGGCTCTTCCAATACGTACCCTTTATTTCTCCCGAAGACCCTGTATTGTAATGATGTTCTTAAGCTCAGAAGGGCTAGATGATGTTCCTCCCAGTGAGAATGGGAGAAGAACAAGGAGATAGGGGTCAGTTTACTGCACTACACAAAAGGGTCTAAACCTAGGGGCAGAATTTCTCCCGGCACAGCTCCAAGCTGCAAAGATGGACTGCTAAGCCCAGAGTGAATCTAAATGTATTCAGAACTGGTGTGCTGGACTGGGGTAGGCAACCCCCAGCATAGGTGCCAGAATGTGGCACACGAAAGCATTTTGCTTGGCATGTGCACCTCAGGGTGGGCAGCAGGGAAGTGGCCAGGGCTTCACTGCCACAACAAGGATCAGGCCCCTTGCAGTTCCCATACCGTCCACCCCAGAACACCAACAACTTACAAGTCAAGGTTGTGGGTGTTATGAGCACTCTGCCCAAAAACGTTGCTGACCTCTGCGCTAGAATATCAGTCTGGGGGATGGAAGTCTTTCATTTTTCCAGATTACTGGCAGCAGCAGATTTTGAAACACTGCCTTCCTGACATGCAGTACTTCTGTAAAAGCTTGAATTGAAATGTAAGAGAGTTACAGGTTAACTACTACTATCTCCCCTCCAATACCTTTTACTAAGGTAGAAGGAATTGGAGTCCTGATCTTTCTTTCCCAGTTCAGGAGGCAGCCCATGCAGAGCACTGTGGCATGCTAAAGGGCACCACAACCTGACACAGGAATTTCTCTGCATAGGAGTGGTTTACACAGACTGGTGGAGAGTTTTTGTCTCAGTTCAACAGAGTCCTCAGTCTGACAACCAATGAAGAGAGAGCATGATCCTCCACCTGAGGCTACAGGAAGTCAGGGACAGGATTTGAAAACATGTCATCTGACAACATACTCTGTACTTACACGTTCCTATGATAGTGACCTAGAGCACCCAGCATGCAGCAATGCAGCATGTTCAATTATTAAAAACACCTGAAATTTGGATTTATATTAAACCGAAAAATTTTAGTGTAAATTAGATACATGGTTTTTATCTTTTTTCAAAAAGTCTTTTTTTTTTTTTACTTGTCTCTTGGGGTTTGCATGAATCGCAGGAAGTAGGCTTTACCAGTAGGCCTGATCATGACAGCGAGAGACATCTACCTGGACATTGCAGGAATTAGGAGGCATCAAATACAGTTTCAGTAATTCTCTAATGAAAGGAATGAGGAAGAGAAGCTGAGCAGTGGAATTTTACACAGGATTGGAAGAAAACACTGGAGAACTTGTCTGAGGCTGAGCAATCTGCGGAGAGGTCTGGGGGCTGCCCTTCCTCCTATCCTGTAATCCAGTGGCTCTCAACTGGATATCCTCAAGGCACCCCTCCTTGATGCCAGCTCTTAGCTTTCATTCCTTTTCCGATTATGGAAAATGGAGGAATTCTTCTGTTGCGAAGAATTTAAAACACTTCAATAGGCCAGAATATTTTTGACACTATGGATTCCTATTTGAAATCTCTGAGTTTATTTTATGAACCATGAGCAGGTGTTTTCACACCCAACAGTGCTAATACTGCACTGCAGCTTTAAAAGGATCTCACAGCATCTCAAGCTATTGCTGCACCCTGACTGAAAATAACTGCTAAAGACAAATTATTGGACTTTAGAAGAGAGGGAAGAGAAAGTCTTTAGCCTAGGGGTGTTCTGCTTGAGGCCCTCAAACTTTTAAATTACGAGACTCTTAAGGCAAATGGTGTTAAGAAAAAAACCCAATAGTTCCTGATAGACAGAAATGAGCCATGCCTTGCAATTTCCAAACTGAAGGGTATGAAATAGTCCTGCTGTGACAAGGAGAAGG